TATATATATATATATATATATATATATATATATACACATATTCACACAGATACATATACACATAGATATAGATACACTGAAATGCACATATATATATATATATATATATATATATATATGCACACCCACATAAACCTAAACCACTTTAGCTTCCTGAAGTAATTTATGTGTGAATAGTGTGTCCTCTTTTTTTAATTTAAAACAAAATGCTGAGTTTTTTATAGAAAAATGCAGATTTTTTTATGAATTATTATTATTGTTATACCCCCTGGTTGTCCTGTTACTTTCTGTTTATTTAGCCCAGTGAAGCAAAACTCAAGAGGCAGCAATTGCCCAGATCACCTGCCTTGCAAAGACTTCTCATTGAACTGCACTTGGAAGTCTGTGATTGGACAGCCACAGAAAGTCTTGTCAGGGTTAGAAGGGGAGGGTTTGCAAAGATTGCAGACAGGAGATTTGAAGCATTTGCAAGCTGCTTTTAGATATACTGTATATATCTGCATGTTTTCATTGGGATATATCTAGTAAATAGTGGGGTTATTCTTTGGGATGGTAGTGGAGTGTCCCTTTTAAGATTAATTTGAATTTTCAGTTTACTAACAAGTTTTATCTGGGAAACCATCAGTGCATAAAAGCCCAGGATATATTCAGGGGCCCAGACCTCTGTTGGGGCCTACATGTGGCCCTTTCCTGTTTTGCAGTCTCGTTGTAAAATTAATTCTATCTCCCCAAATCAGACTGTGTTAATGAGCTGTATGTGTGTCTATATGTGTGTCTATATTTGTTTGTATGTGTGTGCATGTCTATGAATGGGTTCCAGGGAACGCTGCTAAATGTTTCTGTATGACACACTGCAATCTCTGATGACAGCCTTGAGTTTTACCACCTTGTAGCAAGGTTGCACATGATGAAAAATAGAAGTATTTTTCTCATTAAAAAATCACACCACCAAGTGACACAAGGGAGCACATGATGATAGATACATACCTATGTATGTTCAAAACAGTTAATGGACTCTCTGCCATGTACTTTCAAAGGCAATTCGTTACAGTTAGACAAATCACATGGAAGGGGACATTGGTACAGGATATTACCTGCCCAGCTGAGGGGGATATAGCCACTGGCTTAAACCCAGTTTGGATTGCCGACCCATGACTTTGACAGAATATCCTGGAGAACAGTTAACCCAGATGGTGTAGTCACATGGTGGCTTAGTGGCTGCTTGGAGAGTGATGCAGCTTAGATTTGAATGGTCAAAATTAAACAGTTATTTGCGGAGAGACAGAGCGATAAATATGTTCCTACTCTCACTTATAAAAGCTGAAGTGACTGATGGGATCTCATTAGAACCTAAGTTGTAAGTGCAAAGTACAACTTGTCCTGTGTGTTTGTTTAATTTTATAACCAGTAGAAAAAGCTTTTCTGTATGTTTTTCACTTGCATGAGTTTGATTCCCAAATAACTGCATTAACGTAACTGACTCAGATACTTATGCCTAAAAACAAGTGTTTGCTGTACCAAGAAGTGTAATATCAATATACATCAACATGTGCATGAATACATTTTTAATCACAATATTCAGTCCACAATTCCTACTTTGTGTCTGTAGAGCATAATTTCAATTATCAGTTTATGATGTTCTAAATGCAAAGGATTCCAAGCAGGAGGCATAAATTGCTGTATGGTAATATGTTTATATTCTAGCTATCACTTATTTCAAATACATGTTGTGCTAATTCAAAAAAATAATTCAGTAGTGAATGGGGTTAAATGACTGTTTACAGAAGACTGTAAGAGCACTGGATACAACAAAAAAGTAATAATGCCCATAAAAGTAGACAATGTTTAATAACAAATTCATATATTTTTAAAACTGCCAAATGTTTAACTAATTAAAACATTATACATTGTTTATATAATAGGACACAAACTGATAACTAGTACAAGCATTGTATTTTTCAGTTTTAGCACATAAAAAGTAGTAAGATTGTAGGCAGCAGATTTAAATAGAGACTTTGGGAATACAGACAATTGAACTGCATAAAGATTTTGGACATTTTCTCATAGGCATCACCAACAGGGTTATTCCCTAAAGTGAGAATTTAAAGTAAATGTTAAATTTAAAGGCCTGTTTTCCTAGCACTACAGGCTCCTGCAGTGCCCCCCCTCCCTCGTGCCCCCCTCCCTCACGCCTTCCCCCCCACATTGCTGAAGGGGTTAAAACCCCTTCAGTCCAGTACCTGAATCCACCAACACTCCTCCCCGGTGGGGGAGACCTAATGCACATTAGTGATGTCGCGAACTGTTTGCGAACTTCCCGCGAATGGCTCGACGCGGTTCGCGGCGAGCTCCAGTCAGCTGACACATCCCGGCCAATCTCCAGCAGAACCTCCCTCCCAGATCCTCCCACCTCCTGGACAGCATCCATGTTGAAGGCAGCTTCAACATGGATGCTGTCCAGGAGGTGGGAGGGTCTGGGAGGGAGGGTCTGCTGGAGATTGGCCGGGATGTGTCAGCTGACCGGAGCTCACCACGAACGGTTCGTGGCGAACCGCGTCGAGCCGTTTGCGGGAAGTTCGCGACATCACTAATGCACATGCGTGGCAATGGCCGCGCTCGCATTATGATTACCCCATAGGAAAAAATTATTGAATGCTTTCCTATGGGGAAACATCTGACACTCCTGCAGTGCCCCCCTCCCCCTAATAGTAGAGTTAACTTTTGAGTTTGTCAAGTTAGTTTTATTTGGCTAATATAATCACTGGGTTTAGTAGAGGCACCACAAATGCAGTTGTGTGAGACTAAAGGATGTCCTAGAGCAGGGGTGCCCAAAAGGTAGATCCCCAGATGTTGTAGAACTTCAACTCCCATGATGCTTTGCATGCATTTAGAATTACAACGTATGGCAAAGCATCATGGAAGCTGTAGTTTTAAAACATCTGTGGATCTACCTTTTGGGCATCCCTGCCGCAGTAGTTTGGATAACTTTTTTCTATAGTGTTGTGTTTCATTTAAAGTACATCAATTATTAGCAGAAGTGCTATAAATGTATAGATTGAAAGAAACTATGCCCCTCCCTCTCCTATCAAATGATCCTTTAGCATTGAACTCTATGCCAAAAAATAAACTGGCAGGGAAAGCAAGATAAGTTCTCTTTCTCTCTGGCACAGCAACCACAGTATAGCACTGAAGTTAAGTATTACATTACTGGAACATCATCTGAGCAGTAACATGGTGGTGCTGGAGCCAAAATATTTAGGATTAATATTTTAAAACTTAACATTGAATACATATTTTATTAATTTATTTATTTATCTTTATGAAAAAATATATATTCATTGCCTATGTCATGACAGGATAGTTGTTAGGGTCACAGATTTCTTAAAACAAGTTAGATGTAAACTTTACTTTGATTTTTTTTTTGGGGGGGAGGGTGCATTATCTGCATTCTCTTTTTAATATATTAAAATAAAGGTTCATGTCCAGCCTGGAGTGTTCTTTTGAATATGGTATTTTCTATTTAGATGTATTCATAAAATTGAATGTATTAAAATAAATTAATCAATGTTGAGTTGCAGTAACTAGATTTTTTGTAAGAACTAAATATCTGGTATATATATCATCATCCAGTTTATTTTTGACAATGTATAAAACTATTAAAAATAAGCAGAGAAGCCCCTTGGCCGGACATGTTAGACAGCACTAAACTACTCCTACACACGTGGGACTCAGCACGCAAGAGCATACATCCTGGAAGGCCACACTCATTAGCCACCCCACTATACAGCATACACCTTGGTAACCCCTCATTCAATTACATGATATGGCATGACAATGGATGTAAACTAGTGGCAGACCTGTATCAAGGCTCCACCTGGAAGAGCTTCCCGGCCATTCAAACCCAATACCAATTGCCACAGAGAGCCATCTTCTCATATCTCCAACTCAAGTCACATCTGCAAAAGACGACGCAGATGCTGTCTGCTCCCACAATTAGCAAGATAGAATCCCTCTGTCTCGCCCCCCACAAACAAAAGAAACTCATGTCCAGTATCTACCAGGTACTCCTTACAACGCAAACCGAGACACATTACACACATACGGAGGCATGGCATACAGAGATAGGCAGGACCTTTACTACAGAGCAATGGCAAGAGGCTTACATAGCACATAAAGGGACAACAGCATGCGCAACACATTTAGAACTCATTCGCAAATTACAATACCGATGGTATCTGGTTCCAGGAAGATTGGCGCACATCTATCCCGGCACATCGAACAGTTGCTGGAGGTGTGGGGCTGAGGTCTGTACCATGTACCATATTTGGTGGCAGTGCCAGACTCTACAGGCTTATTGGACTCTAGTTCAGGGAATAGTCAACAAAACTTTAACGACACAAGTAAAGTTAACGCCAGAACTGTGCCTACTATATATGGGCCTGCAACAAATACCGATCGTTGACCGCAAACTTTTATTCCACATTATTATTGCGGCAGACGCATTAATTGCTCGGAGGTGGAAACAACCAACCGCACCCACGAGAAAAGACCTATTACAACAAATAACCATAAACTGGACATACAAGCTAATGGCAAACCTATAAATCAGAGCAGCCACAGCGACAAAAAGTGAAGGTGATAAATGGCAACAACAATGGACAACACAGACCTGACCTACTCGGAGGAGAGCGTTCATTGGGTCCCTACACTGCCCACCACACAGTTTCGATTCCTCACGCACATCCTCCCCTACCCCACAGCGCAACAACCCATCTATTCTACCTAAACACCCTAGATGGAACACACTGCCCAACCTAGGCCTGATGTTGGAGAAAGTAACATCATGAACCACCACATAGACGACCGGAGATAGGTCATCAAGGGACCTACCCTATAGCACACATAGCTACACCTGAAACGAGATAATGTGGGTAATGGGCCCGGATACTCATACTTATGCACTCACAATATCCACTAGAATTGACCCCCACTGTCCAAAACGGGGAATCCTATACCCCACTCCCCCAGGGTCCTAGATTAAGTGGTACACAAATCAGATGATATATGGATACATAGTGTCACGCCCACATAGGAAAGTGTGGACACCTACTCACCCAGAGGAACCTTCTAGTTGTATAGGCCATGAGACCGCTCCTTGCGGGAGTGCTCCTATTACCTCTCCCCTATTTAACTGCTCAAGGACTGAGACAGTTGTACAAGTTCAGAGCAAAACAAAATGTAACCAAAACCTGGAATTTGCGTTATATGTCTGTTCAACTATAATTTACCTCTTTCATATTAAATGCACCCACACTTATTACATATTTTTGACAGAGTGCAAGCCTAATATATAGAAAGTATAAAGGCAGTGAAGGGGTTAACCCTAAACAAAATGTAGTGGCAAAAAAAGGAGGAAGAGAGAAACTGCCTAAAAAATATAGATATGCGTATAAAAAATAA